TTTTTACTTACTTTGCGCCATTTTGCCGTAAAACATTGTTGCGAATACCTCGGAGCTACAAGCAAGTACGATTTGATGAGCCAGCACAACCTGAAACACATACAAATCAAAGAAGCATTAACACACCACAATTTTCATCCCAAAATAGCCAGAAGGGAAGAGCCAAAACATGAACAGAGGAATGTGTTCTCCATGGCGCGCATTAATAATGAGATGTCCCAGCATCATTTTCGATGTTTTAACTCGGTACATTCATTTTGTTAGCGAGTTAACTACTATTTTCAATTAAAATATGCCCTCGCCCTCGTCACTGTAACTGAGACGATGATTGGCTGAGTGCTTTGAGTGTAACCAAATCGGCAGGGTTGCAAAAAGCGCCTCACCGAGTGATGAGTACTGCATCACACCCGCACGTGTTCAATCTTTCTTCGCCCGTTTCTTCGTCTGTTATGGCGCCCAGTTTTTTCCTCCTTTCGCTTTTAGTTTTTTGTGTTCCACTTCTATGTGCCCTCTAAATCTAAGCTGTAACCGTCGCGCTGATGAAGTCTGGTTGCATCGCACCATCTAGTGGACCGAAACGTCTTAACTCACCCTTTTGTTAGCTTGCTAATCTTCTTAGCTTCCTTATTTTCTCCATGCATATTTCGGCTCAGCATAAGAGTAATTAATAACGGAAATATAGCGGTTACACGGCGAGCTTAACAGACCCAAGACACTTGCCGAAGGGTTCAATAGTACTGCGAAAAGCCAGGCATCATGGCCAAAACTTACTTCGTGCTCAGTGCCGACGACGAATTTGACGTCACAGCCAACACCTTCCTTGAGGAAGTCGGTAAGTCGCTTCGCCAGTCTAACACCAACATCCTCTGAAGCGCTACACGTGTAATCGTGTTTCAACTCGCTGATCCTCCCTTCTGACATGATCGCAGAATCGACACCAGCGCTCTGAAACTTGCCCCTGATCTTCTCCACATTTACGGGAGTCTAGCTTGGTCACGCAACAAATCGAAATTCATTACTGTTAACTGCTACCTAGTCAGCAAAGTCTTCCCTAATTCGTCGTTAACAATGAATGTAGTAGCACTCATTGCGTGCCTAAACGAAGCAAGTGACTTGGCTAACAAGTCCGAGTACGATAATAAATAATTGGCCAACGTACGGGCTGCCCGTACGAAGATGCGTTTTTTGCATAGTTCCCCGCAGTTTTTGTCGC